CATCTCACTTCATCTGACTTCATTTCGTACTTCGCCCCATGTATTAAGCAGGGTGAAAAATGAAATGAGTGAAGAATCCTTTGATTCACAGTCATTCATATGAAATGACGGAATCTTTCAGTCATTTTCATTCAAATGACAGGAAATTCATTTTTATTCACTATCATTCACAATCATAATCACTCAAATGAATGAAGGTGAACAGGTATGGCTGGTAGTCGAGAATTTTCGCTCTGAGGACGTTCTCCGATAAGATCTTACTATTTTTCGGATGATATCGACATCACGCCTTCCTCCGGGGATGAGGGGGCGAATTGGTGTGGTGGTGTCGACGAATTCGACATAATTCGACCATTCTGGGAGTAACAATTGATGAAAGATTTGACGGAAAAATTAGAAAATTTGTCAGAATGAGAGTGATGAGGAGGACAGTTTCGAAGATGTAGAATTTTTAGTTTTTTTGGTCTGAAATACTGAGATCTGAAATTGAATAAGTTTCTAGTCAAATATAAATTTTGTGCAAATTGGCACGTTAAATTAAACAAGTTCAGATACAGATCTGGTGTTGACATTCGTTCAAAAAATTCATGTTTTAATTTTACACTTTATCTAATCTCGAAATTTCAGAACTTTTGGTTTTTAGGGAATTTTGAGACGAATGTGACTTTTGTGTAAATTTGACTTTAAATTAAATAAACACAATTAGATGGGTAATTTTGGTACAAGTGACACATTTTAATTTTTGCATGTTACCTAATTTAGAAATTGTAGAATTCTTTAATTTTTCGGGAATATTGAAATCTGAGTAAGTTTCCAGTCCGATACGAGTTTTGTGAAAAATATTCACTTTTAATTAAACACGTTCAGATATAGTAGATGCCCGTTGTGTTGCAATTCGGTCACAAAATTAATGTTTTAATTTTGCACTTTAATTTCCAAATTGCAGAACTTTTCTTTTTTGGAAAGATTGAAACTTGAAATTGGTAAAGTTTCTACTCGAATACGAATTTCGGGCAAATAATCACTATAAATTTCTACAATTAGATGTTTTCTTTCATTACCGTAATTAAGCTCTCAACTCGTTCATGAATTTCATATTTTTATACGCATCCAATTTCGAAATTTTAGACTTTTTCATTGTTTTAGAAATATTTTTAGAAATTGTAGAATTCGTAATTTTTTAGGGAATTTAAATTTTTTAAGTTCCTAGCCAAATATGAGTTTTGTGAAATATTTCACATTAAATTAAACCAGTGTGTGCAGAGCAAAAAGGCAGGCAGTGCCTTTTTGCCTGTCTCTTTGCCTTTTTGCCCCACAAAAATCTGTGCCTTTTTGCCGGTCTGCCCTTTTGCTAAGGAGGACGCACCCTTCTTATGAGAAAATCCCCCCCCCGTGATATTTGTCCAAAATTTTGATATGTTGTGCACCTGTGCAGATATATTGCACCATTTGTTGGAAAAATTCCTGCATATTTATCGGTTGCACATTTATCGTTTGCACATTTATCGTTTGCACATTTATCGGGCTGCACATTTGTCAGGTTGCACATTTATCGTTTGCACAAATGTCTTTGCACATTTGTCGTTTGCACATTTGTCTTTGCACATTGGTCGGGCCACCGGTACAAATGTAAATTTTGGTCAAATGTTGGTTGGTCAAATGTAAATTTTGTGTGAATTTTTCAATTTACATCAAACACATTTAAATACTTGGTTGGATTATTTAAGAGATTATAATCCGCGTATAAAATTGATACAGTTTAATTTTTTCATGTCATCTAATTCAGAAATTATTGTAGATGTTTTAGGAAAATTGAGACTTGAAATTGTCAAAGTTTCTAGTATTTTGTGTAAATTTTCACTCCAAACTAAACAGGTTTAGATGTATTTATATCTGCTCTTTTATGAGGTTACAAATAGAATTTTTCAAGTTATTCGAAATTGGGGAACTTTTTATTTTTAGGAAAAATCAGACGTGAAATTACGATTTTTAGCTTTTAGCTACGATTTTTACTTATACATACCTATGTCAAGCTCTTCATCGTTCATCCTTTGTGTGGAAACGAGGATTTCAGTCTTGTTCACGAAAAAAAACTCTAAAAAATAATCAAAATCTTAATAAATCCCATTTTCAAAATTTATTTATCATACATATTTGCCCCTAAAATTTTGAAATTCTCCCTAAATAAAGGCAAGAAATCTTTTTTAAGGTCATTTTCACTATGAATTGAATCATGATATCGATGATTTGCCGTGGATGGAAATGATTCAAGGAATTGTACAATGTTATGCCCATATTTAAGTTTTTGGAAGATTTATAATTTTACTCCATGAGTAAAAAGATCTCCGGCAATTATGTTACTCAATCTTAACCTTATAACTATACCTGTTCAAAAATTTAGTATTTATTCAAAAGTCAGTCATCCCGATTTTTGACTGAAGATTTTCATTCACATTCAGTCATTTTTGTTCAAATTCATTTCATTTCACTTCATCCGACTTCATTTCTTACTTCGCTACATGTATTAAGCATAGGGTGAAAAATGAAATGCGTGAGAAATCCTTTCATTCACACTCATTCATCTGAAATGACGGAATCCTTCGGTCATTTTCATTCACATGACAGGAAATTCATTTTTTCATTCACTATCATTCATTATCATAATCAGTCAAACGAATGAAAGTGAACAGGTACATATGATTATGCCCACGTTATGTACATACGTGTCTGAATATATCAACTATCACTTTACTATTCTAACTCGTGTGAAAATTGACGAGCAAAAATTTGGCAAATTTTCTTCACAAATCTGCAGAAAATTAATTGACCACAAAATTGCGAGTCAAAGTACGGATGGCTCGCTGTTCGAATTCTGCAATAGAGCTACATAGGTTTTCATAAATCTTTTTCGTGCTTTTTGCAGTAACAAATATTCGTTAAAATAAAAAGTGGCGTTGAATAAAAAAAAATCGAAGATTTTGAATAATTTATTTTATTGATTTATTTCGCAAATAAAAATCGATTTCCAGTCATTTTTTATTTCTTTATTAAAAACAAATATTCATAAAAATCAAAGTGGCGTTAAATTACTACAAGATAATTCGCAAATTTTTCTGGATTTATTGTTTTTTTTCAAGTAAAAATAAATCAATTTTCATGCGTTTTGAGTATGTCCATGTTCTTATCTGATCTTGTCCTGTATGAAAATTGGCATGCAAAAAATTTGCATGAAAATTTCTGTATAACCTGAGCAGAAAATTAAATTAATTAATGTATATATAGATGGCTCGCTTTGCGATAAATCCATTAATCCATACTGAACCACGAATGAAGATTTTGTGATCTTTGCTTAGTTTTTGCACTAATAAATATTCGTAAAATTAAAAAGTGGCGTTAAACATTTTCAAAAATATTTCACAAATTTTAAAGGATGTTCTTTGTGAATTAAAAAAATCTATTACGCATTTCTTATTAGCTCACCCTGCGTAGCACGGGAGCTATTGAATTCCTCTTGTCCATCCGTCCGTCCGTCCGTTGACGAGTTTTTTGCATCAATTGATGCTGATTAAAAATCCCCTTGTCCATTATAGACTTGTTTGGTCCCACCATTGGTATAGAACAATCCGAGCGCAAATGGTGCAAGTTAATTCAGCAAATAGATCGAGATAGGACTATAATTTTGGAATAAGTAGTACCGTTAGTACCGAGCAATTGGTTATTAAAAATGATGCATAACAATTGGGCCATCTATTTCCCCCCAAAAATTAATGATGCATAACAATTGGGCCGTCTAGTTCCCCCCAAAATCATGTCCATTTGTTCGATTATTCTGCACCATTGACGCTAAAATATATACATTTGATAATACATAATTGGGAAAGGGATGCCCTATGCACCAATGATGCAGAATGTCGGGAGAAAAAACCATACGATTTTTTCAAAGTTTTCAAAACTTTGTATCCCGTTGGTCGCTAATGTTGCACTAGTGGTGCAAACTAATTCCGGATTTTAAAAATATATTTTTCCGTTTATATTGCACTATTGGTGCAAGAATCTATGAGAGTGATAATCTATTTTGTCGGCTTATTCCGTACCTTTGGTGGAAAGTTATATGCAAATCATTATGACAGGGTGAGCTACTTCTAACGTTACTACGGTTTATTATGCCTGCGTGCCGGCCTAATCTGGACTTTTTGGATAAGTTCGTTAAATTTTAGAGGCTAAATTATCTCATAATTTATTAACATTATGCAAATTACAAATATACTAACCCATATGAAAATTGACGTGCAGAAAATTTGCAAATTTTCTGCTCAATTTTGTAAAAACAAAATTTAAAAAGTAATAAATATGCATATTTATTTATGCAAATTCGTTACTTCCTAATAACCACAAGACGAAAGAAAATATCAAAGAACCTTTTCACCTTTTTTAAGCTGTAAGAAATATGTATTTATAAAAATAAGTGGCGTCAAATAATTACATTTTTTATAATTTTTAAGGTAATAAATCGTTCCTGAATTGAACAAATTTAACTTAAAATTTTACTCATCTTCAAAACTTCTTAAAAACAAATCATTCTTCCCCGCATACAGAATTACGCACTCCAATATATGCAAATCTTTAAATGCTTTTTGAAATAATAAATTTTCTTAAATATAAACAACGACTTTCATTCATTACATTATCTCAAAATAATGCACATTTTAAATGATTGACAACTCCCTCCCTTCTCTACACTCAAAATAAGGTAGTAATGAATCATTACCATGCGGAATGACTATGTGTCTCTACCACGTCGGTTACGATTTGTCGTAGAAATGGTAATAATAAGTTCAGGGAAATTCAAATTTAATACAAAATGGTATTCACTTTTTTAATATTTGGTAATGAATTTGAATTTCCCTGAACTTATTATTACCATCTCTACGACAAATCGTAACCGACGTGGTAGAGACACATAGTCATTCCGCATGGTAATGATTCATTACTACCTCATTTTGAGTGTACAAATTTGTCGTTCAGAATTTAAAAATTAATTCCCAGAGGCGAGAAATGGTTAAAATTGTGATGATCTTGACAATTTTTTAGGTGAAATTTGAAATGATTTTCTTTTCTCTAGAAATCCCCGAAAATGTACCAATTTTCTACACCTTAATTTTCATTCTGTTCCATATTCTACGCCGTTATCCAATAGTCTTCATACGAATACCACGACCTCTCGTTCGTATTCGGATATTTCTGTAGCACCGTGTCATCCAGGAAGGCTTCGAAAGTTCGATTGACTTTCTAAATTATAACACAAATTTGATATTTTACTACCAAATTAAAAACAAATATACTCACTTAATTATTCACTTTATATCAAAATACAGTATTTTGAAGAGAGTTCTTACCAGGGTTTCGATTTCCGGGGGCTGTTACACCCACAAAAAGACGAAAATCCACGTGGAGAAGGCAGCAATCGTACGAATATACAGATTTTCTGGAGAAATTATCTTCTTATCGATGTCGAAATGCATGGTTTTTAGAAAACAATGTATTTTTCCAGCTATAAAAACTTAATTTCTTCTCAAAACCCGTATTTTCAACTGACTGCTGGATTCTCCACGTAGCTTTTTGTCTTTTTGTGGTTGTAACAGCCCCGGAAATCCAAACTCTGGAGAAGTACAAATAATACCTCAAAATCCTTCACATTTTTTGATAAAATATTTATTTTCACAAATATGTACTTACATCCACGTCTTCCACGTTGTCGGCAAACTTGACCTTGTCCGTTTGATAATTTCCGTACGGTGAGTACAAATAGACAATCACCAAGTCCCCCATGCTCGTAAACTTGGTGTCCACCGAGAAAAATTTCGTCCCCTTCCAAATCATTTGGCTGAATATTTCCATCAAAAAATTATTATTCCTTTAGGAAAAAGTAGTTAAGGTACTCTTAGAAATGGGGTTACGATTATAACCGAAAAGTAAACGTATGTTATGTGACTCTACCCCCGTGGTTATGAATTTGTCATCGAGTGGTTACAATTGTCACCGACTAATTATAAAGTTTCACCAACTTGGTATTAAATTGTCACCAGAGCTAATAAATTTACAACCAGTTGGTGCCAAATTTATAACCACGGCGGTAAAGTGACATACGTTTACTTTTTGGCAATAATCGTAACCCCATTTCTAGCAGTGTAGGACTCGATTACATAATTTACATATCGTCAAAGTCAGTACATTTTTAATCAATTCTGGGAATTTATTTTAAAATTCTGCAAGACAAATCTGTAGAGCATAGGAAGTTGCCAATTTTTTGAAAATATACACTCCAGATTTTGACACTTTTTGAAGGAGGAGATCTCAAGTTTAAAAACCTTCGGAAATATTGGAACTCGTCGAAACTGGCTAAAAAACTCACCGTCATTCCATTAATCAACTCACTGACTGCAAATTTGTCGTCCAGAATTTCAAAATAAGTTCCTGGAGGTGAGAAATTATTTAAAATGTGCTTATTTTGACAATGAGTCATCGAGTCCTACGGTATATTTTGAAAGATAAATTCGAAATATCCCACGTCAAGTGTGCCGTTTCCTTGTGGTAAATGTTTTTTCCAATTTCAAAGTTATGAATTGGAAATTCATTTCGATACCAGTGACGCGCTGCGAGCCTGTGCATTTATTAATAATTATTTGCATAGTTATTTTATACAAATATATACGTACAGATGGATATTAAATATCTTATATAAATATCATACGGCGGATATCTATTTTTTTAATAATCCCGGAAATACTATTATATTGTACATTGTAATAGATAGATAGATAGATAAGTGTATTTATTAGCTCTTCTAAGGAATACCCATAGAGCACAATTATTATTTAATTTACATATATAATGAGTTCTAATTAAGTATTGTTTGAATAATATAATTTAGTATTTTTAGGTAATAATATTTTGAGTAAATTTTGAGTAATTTTTTTCATTTCTCTTCTGCTAAACGAATGAAAAGATTTCTGCGTAATAAGCTACATGTTACATAATTTGCTAACTTAACATTTCCTTCATGGCATAACCCTGCTAATTTGGCCTTGAAATTGTCTCTTGTCACTACATGCTGGCTGAGAAAATCACAAAGAAATTTACTACGAGAACTATCATGAATTCTACAGTCAAACAAAAAGTGGTACAAATCCTCGCAAGAGTTTAGGCTACAAAAAGTGCATTTCTTTTCATCCTCAAATACGCTTAAACTCTTTCTGAAATATAATCTATTTACGTTAAGTCTCACTTGTGCTATTAATCTGAACTTGGCTAATGGAATATTAGATAGATCTCTTAACCGTTGATTTTCTCCTATTGTTGCACAATAATAATATTTCCGTGACATTGTACATTGTAATATTATATTGTATTATTTACACTGTAAATAAAATTGAGTAAAATTGCCACCAAAAGCAACTATTGAGTAAAATTTACTCTGACAAAGGTAAAATTTACTCAAGGTTGAAAGATTTTTGCTCAACCTTGAGTAAATTTTACCTTTCTCGGGGTAAATTTTACTCAATAGTTGCTTTGGTGGCAATTTCACTCAAAATTGAGTACATTTTAATCAAATTTATTTAGTGTGTAGATAAAATATGAAAATCTGCATTTTCTACTATTTTTTTATCAAATTATCATGTTCAGCTTAATCCTTAATTTTGCTTATATATAATTGAATTTTATTGAAATTTGATTGACCTACAAAAACCAGACAAACTAGTCAAAAATGGGATCATTTCCAACTATTTACATAAAAAAAATTATGGGGCCGAAGAGAAACATCTTTGACTACTTTTTAAATAATAAATATTCTTCAATATGGAAAAAGACGTTGAATAGTTACATTTCAGTAGGAAATTTTTACCAACCAAGAAACCATTTTCTGGCCATTATTTCTAGCAAGTTTTTTCATTCTTTGAGGTGTTGCTGCATTTTTTGCAGTGCAAGCCACGCAAGAAATACGAGGTGCAAGAAACTGGAAGAAAGTGCAAGAAATAAGCGCCATCTAGCCATACCTGTTCAAAAAAACTTTTTTCATTCAAACTTCAGTCATGCGGCTTTCTGAGTAAAGATTTTCATTTTCATTCGCATTGAGTCATTGTCTTTCAAACTCGTTTCATTTCACTTCATCTGACTTCATTTCTTTCTTCGCCCCATGTATTAAGCATTGAAATGAGTGAAAAATCATTCATTCACAGTCACTCATCTGACATGACGGAATCTTTCACTCATTTTCATTCAAATCACAGGAAATTGATTTTCATTCACCATTAATCTCTATTATAATCAGACACATGAATGAAAGCGAACAGGTATGCATCTAGCCATGCGCTGTGTGAAGTATTTAAAGCGGCGGAGCGTAGTTTCTAGTGCCGTGCATTTCTTGCAGGTCAAAATATTCACCTGCAAAAAAAACCACTTTCTTCCCGTTATTTCTTGCAATTATTTACTTCCCAGCGTTTCGTTTCTTGCAGGTTTGCGACATTTTTCTTGAAGTGCAAAGCAAGAAAATGCAAGAAATGTGAGGTGCAAGAAACTGTGAGTAATATGCGCCACCTAGTCACGCGCCGTATGAAGTATTTAGAGCGGCGGGACGTCGCTTCTCGCGCATTAAATTTCTTGCAGATCAAAATATTTGCAACTAAATATTCAAAATATTGAAGTTTTGCACCGAAACACAGAAAATGAAAACTTTTCCTTATGAAGGAAAAGGGAATTCAAAAATAAATAAATATCCGCCGTATGTAAAAAAAAACTCATAAATAATCCTATACCCTCCAACCAAGGTTTTCATACTGGCGTAATCCTTCGCTAAATGTATAAAATGTGAACATTTTTTTCAAATTTCACCCACAAAAAAAATCCCCCTTAAAATTTGCATCCTTGCCTTTCAAAACGGCGATGCCATAGCCGAACGTTTCATGATCGGTAATCGCAAAGTCGGAAGATTCCAAAACTTCTTCTACGTCATCGTCTTTCGCCTCGATTTCGAGCACGATCCCAAAAACCGTGTCGTTCGCCATGGCGTCCAACTTAATTTGTGCAAAATATATACTTTAGCAACATAACTTGCCAAGTTTTTGCCAGATTTCGTAAAAAATTTTGCTGGAAAACAATGCGATTTTTTACGAAAATTTATTCAGCGATTGAGCATTTTCTTATTTCGCAAAAATCATTATCACCATCGCCAGCAAGAGAAATTACAGAAATCCATTATAAACAACATCAAAATAGATGTTTTTTAGTAGATTCGCGAAATCATATTTTGCGAATCCCCTCACCACATAAATTATTTGATCTTCGCAAGTTTGCTAAATGAGTTGCGATTCGAAATAAGACATTGTCGTGAGTATATACATCCAGTATTTTTAGTTTACAAGTGAGGTCTCCCAAATTAGTGTCAACCGATAACAAATTTAATTGGTATGAAATTTGCGAAAAACACGATCTCCCAATAGGCACGTTTGGCAGAGATATTTGCATCCGAAGAGGAGAAAATGTGCAGGGTGCATTAATTATGGAAAATTAATGCGCAAATTAGTGAAAATTTTGAATCCTTTATGCAGTGAATACAATGAAATAGTTCACACAATTAATTGTTTTAACCATAACTACGAGTTATGTATAAGTAATTTTAAACAATATGGAGTAGGATAAGAACATGAGTATATCCTATCTGTTTGTATACTGGCCTCAATGCGGACTTTTTAACATGGAATTGTATTTTGTTTTATGATTATGATCACTTGATTATATATATTACCCGTCTTTTTTTATTTTCTTTTTTTATTTTAGTTAGATTAGATGCTTTAAAAAAAATATATTGCTACTTGTGTCATGGTGTGTAAACCAATTTGTTATGAATTGATCTCTGTTGACACGTGAATAAATGCTTAACAACAACAACAACAACAGGGAAGTCGACAAATTTTACACGTTCCAAATTTACTGCGCATTTTCTCTTCGGATGCAAATATCCCTGCCAAACGTGCTCAATTGGAGATGCTGCCATTTGCAAATTTGATATTAACTATACTTGTGATTAATTAAGACTAATTTGCTAAAAATCCGAAATTCTAAACAACCATTGGATGGGGTTTGTACTTATTTCATATTTTCATACCTCGTTGGATGAATCCCGAACCAAGGGCTCAGCTTTGTGTAATTTTCTGAAATAGATTAATTTTTAAAAGGGAAACACCCATGTTTTATCGGAAACTGAAGAAATTTATGCACAGGCCGAAACAAGTAAGCCAGATTTTATCAACCCACAAATACAAGAAAACCTCGAAAATAAATTGGTTAATTACCCACAAAATTATTCGATTTTAATGGAAACTTTATAAATTTACAGAATTTTCGTCCGATTACTAAATTTTAATGGAAACTTAAGTCAAACTCAAGATTAAAAAACATTGCCATCATGTCTTGGCAAATTTACATAATTAATGTCATATTTTAGCAGGATTGTATACACAAATTCGACAATTTTTTGGCAGAATACAGTCCCCGCGGAAGCCGTGGGGACGGTAACATTGTAGTATAGCGGAGGTAGGGGTTTATAAGTACATTGTCCCTCTGTCCCCACGCTTTCGCGACCACAGGAGAATTGTATTAAAAACGTGTCACGAAATTTGTGCAGATTATGTATTTATTTTGAGTCATAAACAGTGGCCGCGGAAACGTGAGGGGCAATGTCCCCCCCACAGTTATTCGATGTCCCCATAATCTCCCCTGTTATGTAAACCCTCCCTCTTCTATCCTACAATGTTAATGTCCCCATGGCTTCCGCGGTCACTTGTAAAAACTAAATACGACTACCTGATATAATTCACCGTGTCCCATGCTTCTTGGCTATATTTGGTCTGATTAATAAAAAATTCAATTTGATTAAATAGCTCCTTCAAAAATAACTACAACGGACCTTGCAGATTGCGATTTGAGGGGGGGGAGGGGTCAAGACATCCTGTCCCTCCCATGTTAATTATAACATGGGACGTATAGGTCACACGGGGGTCAAAATTCCCCGAAAATCGATCAAGTGCTTTATGTACGGTCCCTAAGCAACTCGAAGAATGGATGTTTTCCAGCGTATGCTCTCCGATTTTGAGGAATAATCGCTTACAAATTTGATTAGTATGAAATTTGCGAAAGACGCGATCTCCCAATGGGCACGTTTGGCCGAGATATTTGCATCCGAAGAAGAGATAACGAGCCCTAAAGCCGACAAATTTTAGCCTTTGCAAATTTTCGGAAACATAAACACTATCTAATCATGCTTAACTATAGCTATATTTTATAAGTTTTTTTTCTGACTTTGAAATTTTCCAAATTTACTGCGAATTGTCTCCTCTTCGGGTGCAAATGTCTCCGCCAAACGTGCCTGTCGGGAGATCGTGTCATTTGCAAATATCGTATTAATTAAGGTTGTGATTGATTGCTCCACATCGCAGGTTTGGCCGAGATATTTGCATCCCAAGAGGAGAAAACGCGCCGTAAGGTCGACAAATTTTACACTTTTTACCGTGCATTTTTTTCTTTTCGGATGCAAATATCTCTGCCAAACGTGCCCATTTGGAGGTGGTGTCTTTCGCAAATTTCATACTAATTAAATTAATGATACTAATTTCGCCAAAATCGCAGAGCATAAGCTGGGACACCTCCTCCATTCTTGATGGTATTTCGTATTACTTACATAATTAAATTCTTCAACCGTTAGAGTTGCACCTTTGTTGAAAATAAGCACCAAAATTAGTAATGCGCAAAAAAACATTGCAGAAGGATAATAATTATTTTCAATCCAATTTTATACGCGAAAATTTACGATGCAGAGTTACTGCGTAGTACATTAAGCGAATTTTGTTTACGCAGTTTTGTCCAGTATAAATAAACCGTTGCAAACGAAATGTAGCAAAGGGGTGAAAATACACGGAATTGTCTTCGTGGCACGCCCACAACGTCTTTCAGCACTTTCCCGTCATTGTCTCACATTACCCCACGTCTCATTTTGCCCCGCTTTGACACCCCACCCGCGTACTTCTAACGTACACGACCATACCTTTCAATAGACACCCCACATGACAAAAGTCATTTTTCGACATTCGACACCTCCCACACGGTCATGGGGTCGTCGCACGTCGAAATGATGGCGATTTCTGAAATCCCCGCCCAAAAATATGTCTAAAACGGTGGCAACAAAAAATTCGCCAATTTTCGACTTTGGCGTCGTCTGCACGGTCACATGGTCATTGCACGTCCAAATGGTGGCGATTTCTGAAATCCCCGTCCAAAAATACGTCTAAAACGGTGGAAACAAAAAATTCGACACCTTTGACCGTTGGCGTCATTACCGTGGCGCCGTGACCTTATGACCCACGACGCCCATCTTCGAACTCATCCATACTTCAAAAATTAGAAACACGTTGGCGAAAACCGGATGTCGAAATTCGAATCCGTTCTAAAGTTATCGTGGATACGGACAGACGGACAGACGGACAGACAAGACATTTCCATAAAGGGGTTTTCACCCCTTAATAAACCTTTGCAAACGAAATGTAGCAAAGGGGTGAAAATACACGGAATTGTCTTTGTGGCACGCCCACAACGTCCTTCTGCACTTTCCCGTCTTTATCTCACATCACCCCACGTCTTATTTTGCCCCGTTTTGACACCCCACCCGCGTACTTTGAACGTACACGACCATACCTTTCAATAGATACCCTACATGACAAAAGTCATTTTTTCGACATTCGACACCTCCCACACGGTCATGGAGTCGTCGCACGTCGAAATGATGGCGATTTCTGAAATCCCCGCCAAAAAATACGTCTAAGATGGTGGCAACAAAAAATTCGACAATTTTCGACTTTGGCGTCGTCTACACGGTCACGGGGTCATTGCACGTCAAAATGATGGCGATTTTTGAAATCCCCATCCAAAAATACGTCTAAAACGGTGGAAACGAAAAATTCTACACGTTTGACCGTTGGCGTCATCACCGTGGCGCCGTGACCTTACGACCTACAACACCCATCTTCGAATTCATCCCGTCCCCAAAAATTAGAAACACGCTGGCGAAAACCGCATGTCGAAATTCGAATCCGTTCTAAAGTTATCGTGGATACAGACGGACAGACGGACAGACGGACAGACGGACAGACGGACAGACGGACAGACGGACAGACGGACGGACGGACAAGACATTTCCATAAAGGGGTTTTCACCCCTTAATAAATAACTTAATACGGAAGTTGCTTAATTTTCCAAGAAATTATGTTTACAGAAAGTTTAAATTTCTGTAAACAGTGTATGAATTATGTAAATGTGTTGAAATGCATAAATTTCAACTTTATACATTTATTTGAAACACATCAATCCAACCTGCAAAAAATAGCTAGATTTGTCCACAATCTAAGTTTTGTACAAGCGCCGTGTAAACTCTACAAAATAATAATTTTTTTACACTTAAAATTTCAATTTAATTTTTCTTGTCGAAATCATGCAAAATTCCAAAGATGACAAAAAATGGAGACAAAACTTTGTTGCGTATTTTAAATAATTACTTCAATTATAGGGAAATTTTGTTATGTCGTTTTGTCTCAGATATAAATTAATTAAGGCGGAAATTCCTAATTTTTCCCAGAAATTATGTTTACAAAATTTTAAATTTCTGTAAACAATGTATGAATTATGTAAATATGTTCAAATGTATATACATTTATTTGAAATACATAAATCCAACCTGTAAAAAATAACTCTAGTTACTTCTTACAGGTTGGATTACACAAATACTTTTTTGTACAAAATTTTAATATAATCTTTCTTCCCAACAAAATCAAAACGTGGCAAAAATGGGCCAAAATTTTAAATGGCATTTTAAATAATTACTGAAACTTCATAGTGAAATTGTTATGTATTTTTCTCTCCGATATAAATAACCTAACACGGAAGTTACTTCATTTTCCGAGAAATTATGTTTACAGAAATTTATATATTTATTTGAAATACGTAAATCCAACCTGGAAAAAAGTAGATTTATCTAAAATCTAACAATGCAAGTCTTTTACGTGTACAACTCAGATCTGAATGGGACCAATTTTATTTTGTTCACCACAAAAAATAAGCATACCCGTATTTTTTCATTTTTCATAATGCGCTAATTTGAGCGCGTGGCGCGAATTTTAAAACATTTTTCAGCCAAAACTTCGATTTTTAAAAATGCTGTAAATTTTCGAATTTTAGCGCGAATCTAAAAATTCGAAAACATCTCTTTTCAGAATGACTGACCTAACTTATGAAAAATCCGATTGACTTGTAAAAAATTCACATGCATTATTTTTTGACAAATTAAAAATTTGAGAGTTTATAATTTTAATGAATTTCAAAAACTGGCAAAAAATTTTGAAATTAAAATTTCGAGACAATTTAATTTCGTCAAGTCATCTTGAAGAGACATGTTTTCGAATTTTTGGATTCGCGCTAAAATTCGAAAATTTACAGCATTTTTAAAAATAGAAGTTTTGGCTGAAAAATATTTTAAAATCCGCGCCTCGCGCTCAAATTAGCGCATTATGAAAAATGCAAAAATACGGGTATGCTTATTTATTGTGGTGAACAAAATAAAATTGGTCCCATTCAGATCTGAGTTGTACACGTAAAAGACTTGCATTGTAAGTTTTGTACGAGCGACGTGCAAACGCTACACAAACATTACTTTTGTACACTTGAAATAAAGCATATTTTTTTCTTTAATCTTTCCAACCGAAATCATGCAAAATTCAAAAGATGACAAAAATGGACCAAAATTTCATACGGAATTGAAATAATTACTGAAATTCATACTGCATTGGAAAATTTATTTATGTTGTTTTCTCCCCGATATAAATAAATTAATATGGAAGTTAATTCAGCATTATATTTTCAGAAATTTATGTACATTTCCTTGAAATACGCACGACCAACCTACAAATAATTTAATGGGTTTGTCCAAGCGACATGCAAACTGTACTTAACAAATGCATTGCAAATTTTGTTTTCTATCTAAGTTTTTTATACAATCATACAAAATTATGAATATGAAACAAATCGAACTATAAATTTTCAGGCGAATTTTAAATAATTACTGAAATTACGATTCATGATAAATTCATAATAAACTTTTATCCAGAATAACATCTAGATTTCTTTCTGTAATTTTTTTCATGTAATTTGTTTTCGTGAAATCATGCAAAATTCTGGCTTTGTTTTTTTAATGCCCCAAAATTTTCACTTATTTAAGATAGATTAAGATATATACTTACAATGAGATAGCGTTTTTTCGCGCTCGAACGATTTTCAAATTGGATGGCTTAAAATGTGCGTAGTTTTGGCAAATTTGGCTTTAGAATGACTGGAAATAATTTTAAAAATAATTTTGGACCAAAATTATAGTGTTTATTATAATTATTAGGTTGTCAAGGACACATTCCTCCCATGGCACCCTGGCCTATGTCATTCCATAATCGGAGCTCTAAAATAAACATGTGAACTTAAGTTAAATGTAAACCTTGCATTAAACTTTGACACTTACCTCGTGCCACCCACACAGTCCGAAACATTGGACATGAAGTCACAAGTTAGAAGTTCCTGATTCCAATAAAGCGGATCCTGACACTGTCGTAAAACTGGGTTATCTGGATTACAAACCCAGAAAAACCTGCAATCTTGATGAGGAGAAAAATAATCGCCAGGCCTGCAAATTTCTCCAGACTGCGTTGTTCCCATCGTAGGAGTTGTGGCGACTGAATTTGTCAACAATTATTACAAATTTACACTAACAATGGTGGTCTCCCAACGTGTGCTCACAGATTTGGACGAAATTAGTATCAATCGATCACAAATATAATTAGTATGAAATTTGTAAATGGCACTATCTGCCAATACGCAGGTTTAGCGGAGATATTTGCATTCCAAGGAGAAAAAATGCGCAGGAAATTTGGAAAATGAAAAATATGCCAGCCTTTTGGTGCGTTTTCTCCTCTTTTTATGCAAATATCTCCGCTAAACCTGCGCATTGACAGATAGTTCCATTTGCAAATTTCATCCTAATTATATTTGTGATCGATTGACACTAGTTCGGTCAAAATCTGTGAGCATACGTTGGGAGACCTCCATTGTAAGATTACTTCTTCATGTGCAAATATGCCCCTACCATAATCTTCTTCCAATTCGCAAATCGTCCCATAACGTGATCCACCCATGCAGTCACCCCCATAAGCCGGTTGATGTCAAGTAGGCGCACTTGTAATGAAAGCCGTGTCCCTGATCGTCCAAGTCTGGATAACTCACCACATTGCCGTTATGAATCCATCTCTTGTAATTATTCCCCCTTCCACATGACACGCCAAGAATGTCACTTGCCCCGATATGATATGGAACGTAACGGCCTAAACAATTTTTTAATTGGGGTTTATTTTGACCAAGCCAAATTTCTAGCTTGCATCATTTTCTTGCTTTGAGTAGTTTGTCAAGAAGTATAATTCCTCCATAGATTCTGGAGCAGCCATTCTCAGGTCGTGTTCATGACAAAAATCCCAGCTTCCTGTCCATAATCTCTGGATGCAAAATATTCATTATACTAAAAGAACTAGGCTAATAAAAAAAACACAAATTCCACGTTACCCCCTCCTCTGGTGGATTTTCATCCACAAAGTATCTTTTATTTCCAACCCCTCCAATTTCCACGAGTGATTGGATGCTAGGAATTCCTTGAAATTTTGACAGAATTTCAACCCCATTTGTTCTGCCTCCCTCTTCCTTACCCCACCTGAACATAGGAAGTTCACAAAGCGTGTGATACCGGATATCCCACGAAGTACAAGATTCCTCCACATAAAATCCGTCTTGATTTAAAGCGAGACAATTAACGCTACGGTTTCGGGACGGCGTTCCAGCACTCCAATTCCCCACGAGGACCTCCTCATAATTCTCCAGCCATCGGAACGTCCCCTCCTCGACGTGATCAGTGGCCGGAAGCCAGAGGCTTTCTTTTCAGGGAGGACGCTTATTAAAATTAATGGAAAATATTTAGAAAAATTATGGGCGTACTCACGACAACTTCTTATTTCGCATCGCAACTCATTTAGCAAACTTGCAAAGATCAAAATATTTCTTTCGTGAGGGGATTCGCAAAATATGACTTCGCAAAACTCTCTTATCTCGCAAATCTACAGAAAAACACCTATTTTGGTATTGTTTCCATGGATTTCTGTAATTTCTCTTGCAGAATTATTTTGCGAAATATATTTGCGAAATTAGGGCATGCTCAATTGCTGGGTAAATTTGCGAAAAAAAATCCCATGGTTTTCCAGCAAATTTTTTGCGAAATCTCGCATATCTCGCAAAACTTCGCAAGTTATGTTGCTATGCTCAATTTGCGAGATATGCGAGATATGCGAAGGTTGACGTGAGTACGCTCTATATAATCTATGTACGTACTATATCCGTCCGGAAGTTGGGTAGTTGTTTGAAGAAAATTAGTAATAGTTGTGTATTGTGATTGGGTAGAAATTCGGCCAGGCATCGCGCCAAATGAGTTACAGTAATCAATCCCTTGCAACCAGTCCGTCTTGTAAATTAAAGGCATAACATAAGTATTTTAATTTGTGCAAGAATTTATTTCTATAAATGCAAACACCTTTTCCAGAACGGCAAAAAATATCTTGAACTCAGAACGATCTTGATAAATCATGGGCATACTAACGTACTGAAGAATTTCTAAAAGGACGTGATTAGTTTTGTACTTTATCTTTAATGGAAATTTAAAAATATATGGAGAAATGCAAATTTAATAATTTAATTATTCTAATTATTTAAGGTTTCCATGGATGACGCGTTGGCGCGTAATCTCACTCTGCCCCTACCCAATGTATTCAAATGCAATTTCTAAAATCGAAACAACTCCATGAGTTTTGAGATAATTGCAAGTTTTGATATTTTAATCTAAACCTAATTTTTGGTACTACAAACAAGTCGATTTGAAAAAATTAAAAAATTCGTTTGCCAATTTTTCGCAATAAATTTCCTCGAAAACGAATTTTTTAATTTTTTTCAAATCGACTTGTTTGTAGTACCAAAAATTAGGTTTAGATTAAAATATCAAAACTTGCAATTATCTCAAAACTCATGGAGTTGATTCGATTTTAGAAATTGCATTTGAATACATTGGGTAGGGGCAGAGTGAGATTACGCGCCAACGCGTCATCCATGGGAACCTTAATCCTCTTACCGGAATCCGAGGTATTGCAGGTGATCGAGGCGATCCCCATTGCCATGATTAACAGGATTACTGTAACGAAACTCATACTTTATATATTCAAACTTGGCACAAATATGTAGATGAAGCTACTAATCTTCACACGATACTGAAACGCGGATAATTTAAGCCATACTGTTTTATAGTTGGAGTCAACAGTGTTAGGAATTTATTTGACAATCAATAACAATAATGTTTTGATCGAGGCAGGACGTGTAGCATGATTGATAATTTGAAAATGACGTAAATGACAACGCAAATGATTGAATATGAGGTAAACTGAACTATCTTACTTGACATTTGACGTTTGATTTGAATCTGACATATATTTCATACCCATAGTAAAAAGGCTTTGACGTTTTTGGAATTGCGAGAAAAGTATCTTTGATAACATTGTGCATGAGATATTTGTGTGCGTCAAGCACGTGTTTCTCAAAATAATGGAAGGAGTGACGGAAAGATAAGATTACATAGAATGGATAATTTATTCAACGAAAGGGTTTCACTTCCAACGAATAATAGTAGAATTTATACATTTATTTGAAATACATAAATCCAACCTGTGCGAAATAAGTAGATTTGTCTAAAATCGAAGTTTTGTACAAGCGACGTGCAAACTCTGCACAAAATTAATTTTGTACACCTTAAATAAAACATATTGTACAATAATGTTTTTTTCTTTAATTTTTGTTGCCGAAATCATGCAAAAGATGCCAAAAATGGGCCAAAATTTTGACGCGTATTTTAAATAATTACTGAAATTTATACTGAATTGCGAATTTTTTCTCCCCTCTGATACAAATGAATTAATACGGAAGTTAATTCGTTCAGAAATTATGTTTACTTACAGAAATTTATACACATTTCCTTGAAGTGCACAATCCAACCTGCAAAAATTATTAGATTTGTGTAAAATCTAAGTTTTGTACAAGCGACGTGCAAACTCTACACAAAAAGAATTTTTATGTCTAAAATCAAATATAATCTTTTTTCTCTAATTTTTCTTCCCGAAATCATGCAAAATTCCAAAGATAACAAAAAAGAACCTTGTTGCGTATTTTGAATATTTACTAAAATTCACATTGCATAGCGAAATTTTTGTATGTCGTTTTCTCTCCGATAAAAATTAATTAATACAGAAATTAATTCCTTCATTTTCCGAGAAATTTTAATTGTAGAAATTTATACATTTACATTTCCTTCTTGAAGTACACACGATCAACCTGAAACAACTAAATGGATTTGTCCAGAATTAAGATTTATCACAAACGACGTGCAAACTGTACATAAAAAACACATTATGAATTTTTTTCGGTAAGTTTTTTCTTGACGAAATCATACAAAATTTGAAAAGATGACTAAAATGGAACAAAATTTTGATGCGTATTTTGAATATTTACTGAAATTCATATGCGCAGAGAAATTTTTGTATGTCGTTTTCTCTCCGATATAAACTAATTAATACGGAAGTTCCTTCATTTTCCGAGAAACTATATTTCCAGAAATTTATATACATTTATTTGAAATTCATACCACCAACCTGTAAATAACTAAATGGATTTGTCCAGAATTAAAATTTAGCACAAGCGACGTGCAAAAACTACATTTGTATCTAGCATAAAATGCATATGATGTAAAATGTTGTTTTTTTTTGCAATTTTTTTTTACCGAAATTATACAAAATTATGAAGATAAAAAAACAGAACAAAATTTTCACGTGTATTTTAAATACCTACTGAAATTACGACTCATGATAAATTCAAAATTGTCCATAATAAACTGTTATCTTGAATAAAATGCAGATTTTTTCCTGTAAATTGTTTCTCGAAATTATTCAAAATTCTGGAGATGTTTTCTATTTTTAAAAAATGGGCCAAAATTTTCACACGAAGTTTAATAAATGCAAAATTTTCCACAATATTCTGAATTAAACTTGCCTCATTATTTTTTTCTCCGTAAAATTTTTTCCTGAAAAACGCACAATTCTAAGAAATTTACCAAAAGTTACATATTTAAGTAAATTTCCAAGATAAATAAAAATCACTTAAAAGATCACACCACCAATTTCTAATTGTTTTGACTAAATTTATCAAAATTTCCATACACATTTTTCATATGTAAATTTCCATGTTAAATAAAAACTACTCAAAATCTCACAATTTTTTTTCTAATTGCTCACATCAAAACATTTATTTTCCACGTGTCTGCTTTCTGGTCTGATCTCCTTTTTCATTCTTCTCAACCAGAAATTACATACATTTAACAAACAAACAATAAAGTTGGCCACCGTCTTTTCAAATTACACAAATTCATATTTACATACACAACTAACTACGCTTCATTACGTTACAACCGTCATTCTTTGGTTTACTTGGCACATTAAAAAAACATCGGGGATTGTAATAATTTTTTAATAATAATAACAATAATAATTAGCATATTTTTAAGGTGAGAGTGATGTAAATATGTAAATTGCCGGTCAGTCAGAGAGGTACACGGTTCACTAGGAACATAAAAACACGTGGCAACGATCCATAAAAACCACGTGGTGACGATTAAATTCCTACCGGAAATAAATTAACAAGACTTCAAAATACAAAAAATAACTAAAAATGCATAGATAATAATACTGACTAGCTGACTTTTCTAGTAATTAAATTACTAATTAACTTAAGTAAAGGTGATTAAATTACTAAATATGTAAATTTCTAATTAATCACATAAAATTCGTAGGAAAGATTGAGAGACAGAGATAAAATTAAAATCAGTCAAACGGCACACTTTGGTCTGTTTTCTTTTTTGGGGGGAGAAAGTCGAGTAGAAGAAAACCGGATGTCACTTTTTACTTCTTCTTTTTCCCTAGGATTTCAATCATCTCGTCGAACTTGCCATCCTCCTCGTTCAGCAAAAGAGCGTCGAGACACCCTTTGAAGTACGGAGACCCAAAGCAGTTCGACCTGGGGCGACAAAAATACGCAAATTATTAGACAATTCTGTATAAATTGCAGTTTATTTTTAGCAGTTAAACTACATAATACATCCAAAAATAAATAAATAGCTGTTAGCAATTTTACATAAATTAGTTCGCAATATTTATTAATAGACTGCAAATACGTCACAATGACGTCAATCCCCCTGAAAATTGTCAAGCTTAATTAATTTTTTGACGTTATCCGGTTTTAGTGGTGGTCTGGTAATAATACTGCCGTGTTAGTTACCTAATGCGGTTTTTGGTTTAATTTTCATGTTATATAATTAGTAATTACATAATTAATTTAAAGTGTTATTGAGTGCTTGATTTGTTAGTGTTATTACGTTCATGCATTTTTTCCATGCAAATTTACATGTATTTCTTGTGTAGCATTTTTACTTACGGTGTTTAAAATATGTCCAAAAATTTGATGGTGTCGTGTCAATGAGATGATGGTAATTTTGTGTGTATATTGATTTTGTAGCTTAGTTGAGCTGCGTTTTGTTGACTTTTGACTCTACATAGGATTTTCTAGGCTAAAAATCTCAAAAATATAAAAATCTGCTTTCAAAAAACTAAAAAATCCCTGACTGACTTTCTCCTTATTCATTTTCATAAAAGTAAAAATTAAAAAATCCGACAAAAAACTGTCCAATTTTCAATTTAAAGCTACACATTTAACCAAATTATGTAAATATTTGCCAATAAATCTCTCTGTCCATTAAAAAATTCACGAGAAAAACTATTTCATTTTCTATTCTCAACTAAACCTAACCTAAGTTTAACTAAATTAAATATGTAAATATTTGCCCTGGAATTTTTTAAAGTTTTTGTGTATGCACCTGCTCCTAAAAAACGATTGCTGATTCAGGTGCAGCTTGTTCTCTCTTAAAAAAAATAGAAATCAAAGTCTTTGGTAGCTGGAATGTGACTATCAGAATGATGATGATGACGATGGTTTGGGTCGTGTCGTGAGAAATGGTTCATTTCTTTCGTTCGACGGGCGTGGGTGCGTGTATTCGTTCGATGTACTCTTCATACGTCTTCTGCTCATCGTTCAGCGTCAGCGCATCCAAACAATTCATGAAGTACGAGGACGAAAAACAATTCTGGCTGTGGATGGGAAGAGCACAATATTTCGCATTTATTATTAAGTGTGTGGAATGGATTTGTTCACTAATTTTTGCATGCAGTTTTTGTTTCCTATGTTTTTGAAAATTAATGATTTACAAGGAAAAATGAGAGATGCATAACTTCTATGCTAATTTTTGGCCAAATTTTACACTTTTATGTATTTGTTGCAAATTTTTCGAGTAGTTTTTGTCAATTTTCATGAATTTTTGCAAATTTTTTATATAATTCTGCGCCAGCTTTTCAACTCTCGTGTATTTTTTGGCTAATTTGTTGATAGGACTAATTGCTTACGTTGAAAGATGTGACAATTTTTTGCTAAGTATTCAATTTTCTAAAAAATTTTGGCAAATTTTCACGTACTGTTTACCAACTTTTGAATTTTTTAATATTTTTGTTTCCAACTTTGTATGCCTTTCGTTTCGACAAAAATTTCATATTAAAAAAAAATTGAATTTGTTTTTATTTTAATCTACGAAAATAAATGAAATTACAGGAAATTTTAAGTTTCTGAATTCTCAAAAGAAACCTCCATCGAATTTGTGGCAAAATCCAACCCAGAGTCTTTCGGTGAAGGTGCGTTAACTTTATTAATAAGTTTTTCATAGAAATCCAATTCATCCTCGAGTTCCAGAATGGTTAAACATTTCGTAAACGTGTCCGTAGAAAAGCACGATTTTCTAAACATTTCGTGTGTTTTTTATAATTAAAAAGATAATAATATCGTTACAAATTGAAGAATGCAAGTATAAAATTACAGTTGTGAATTCAATTTTTGGAAGAAAGTATTTAAAAATGCGGTATGTATAAATTGACCAACCTGCATAGCGAGTGGAGTTGTGGTTCTCTGTACAAGTTGTAACAATCGTCGCAAATTCTGTCCAGCTTGGCAAAGATGCCCTTGTCCTGAAAAAAATTACCATATTTTTAACACACATTTATTCTCCACTTTATCAATATTTCAACTATTATTCAAGAAATATATCAATATTTCGACCATTTTTCAGAAATTGGTGTAAATTCGACGACGTTTGAAGAATAAACATTACTAAACTATAGTAAAAAAAATGTTAGATAAAAAAAGCAGAAATGTGTTTTCTGAATTTTTTTTCTCTCCCTATCTGTTCCTAGATTTTAAATCTCAATCTACCCCAATTCAATATCTTTAAATGCAAATTTCTAAAATGCTATCAAGTTTAATTTGAGTTTTGAAATTAATACAACTTTTGCTAATTTTTGATTCTACAAAAAGTCATCGAAATTTATTATGAAAAAATGGCAATTTAATTAGCAATTATTATCTGACTCCAGAATTTTATACTTTTAAAAATTAACTTCACATTAAATTAAAATCTCAAAACTCGCGAAATTAATGCCAAAAATTTTCGACTCAACAAATCTTCATCCGATAGCACCTTAAGCAAATATTCAACCTATCACCACTTACATAAACTCCTTTGCACTGGATGTCGAAAAATGACCGTTTGCTGAGAGGTCGGCTCCCCATGACGAAGCTGTCCGCCTGCCCCACCACCACCGTCGCGATCAGCAGCGTCGTCCCCAATGTGACCAGGAAAGCGGGGGATGTCAGCGCCCGAGAAGTAAATCTCCTCCCATGATTCACCTTCGTGGCGACGACTGATTCGTTGGAGGATGAATGCATCTGCAAAAAAGTTAAAAAAACAATGCCTCAATTTACCTCAAAGAGAAAAAAATTTTGCATAAAGACCCAGAGTGCAACTTAATTTAGCCCGAGTCAGGTTGGTACTAAAAATTGAGTTCTGTATCGACCAAGTCAACTTTTTAATGTTTCCAGACATTTTCCTCATTTTCAAAATTTCCTAATTTTGCATTTTGGTGTACATGCAAAATTTCAAGTTGGCTGGATAACTCACACGAGCGTAATCTTTAACAGACAGACAGACAAGTATGATGGGTAGATAAGCCCTGACTCGGCGAAGTAACATATAACAAGTTGATTTGGTGAAGTCTAATAAAAAATTTGCTAACTACCAACAAGTTCTCTTAATTATTACCTACGTCCTTAATTTTTTTGTAAATTCCAGTCTCATTCTCTACGTAAATTCAGCCTAAAAATTATTCCACCACGTGGATCCACGTAGCCTTGCACTTTTTGGAATAAACCTTCCTCGAATTTCATTCAATAACTGGTTCACAAATAAATAACCGATAAGAAAAGTTCAAATTGTTAAGTCTGTGGTTTCTTTGCGGTTTCTTTCAATGTTCTTTTTATCACCACAAATTTATGTAGTACACCAAAAAAATGTACACGTTTTATAGACACATTTCTCTCTCCTGTGTGATTGACGACTAACTGATTTTTTTAATGGATACAAATATGCACAAAACCAATTAAGAATGCACCTTATTAAGTAGCGCAAGCTACTTTATGCGATGAGTTAGTTAGTCTGTCTGTCCGTCTGTCTGTCTGTCTGTCAACACGATAACAGGAGAACGGATCGAGATAATCGAAATCGGTTTGCGGTATCATACATATGACCCTAGGGGGAGGATCTTGTAAACTTTTGGGGTCAACCGGACCACACCCCCCGGGCGCCAGGGGGTGTGGTTGGGGCAAAATGAGATTTTTAGAAAAATTGAATCTATGGATGAAGTAGAGTTGAATTAAGTGTCTCCGAGTTGTGCCACACCCCCCGGGCGCCAGGGGGTGTGGTTGGGGCAAAATGAGATTTTTAGAAAAATTGAATCTATGGATGAAGTAGAGTTGAATTAAATGTCTCCGAGTTGTGCCACACCCCCGGGCGCCAGGGGGTGTGGTTGGGGCAAAATGAGATTTTTAGAAAAATTGAATCTATGGATGAAGTAGAGTTGAATTAAGTGTCTCCGAGTTGTGCCACACCCCCCGGGCGCCAGGGGGTGTGGTTGGGGCAAAATGAGATTTTTAGAAAAATTGAATCTATGGATGAAGTAGAGTTGAATTAAGTGTCTCCGAGTTGTGCCACACCCCCCGGGCGCCAGGGGGTGTGGTTGGGGCAAAATGAGATTTTTAGAAAAATTGAATCTATGGATGAAGTAGAGTTGAATTAAGTGTCACCGAGTTGTGCCACACCCCCCGGGCGCCAGGGGGTGTGGTTGGGGCAAATGAGATTTTTAGAAAAATTGAATCTATGTATGAAGTAGAGTTGAATTAAGTGTCACCGAGTTGTGCCACACCCCCCGGGCGCCAGGGGGTGTGGTTGAGGCAAAATGAGATTTTTGTAAAAGTTGAATCTAACATGTAGGGCAAGTAAAAGAGTAATATTGATTAATTAGTTAATTAAGATTGATTAATGAGGATTGATAAAACAGTAAAACATGTAAGATGCATGAATTTGCAGAGTGGCTACATATAAATGAGGAAGTTTAAATTACTTCATTATTTTGAAATAATTCAGATTCTGCAATCTATATTTTGTATCGCATTCTCAGCATTATTGCGCTACTTGTGTACCCTGCGTTGCCGCAGTTTATTATTTATGAAACTCTTCCAATTTCATGAGAAGAATGCTGGACATTTTGTTCATGTATGTACAAATTGGTAACAACAAGACTAAGCTAGTAGTCACGTATGTACATACATACGTAAACGTGTAGATACATATTTTGTATACTCGTCAGACTTGTTTTATGTACTTGATAGACATATGTACCATCCTTCGTAGTTATTTGGGTAAGTATAATAATTACAGATTTTTTGTCTCAACATTTTCCTGGAATTGGGGACTCGAAAATTATTCATGCAGCTTTACATGCAGCCGAGAAACCGGTCAAAGGTAAGGTTGCCGTCTCTCCAAGAATTCTTGGAACTGGATACAAATTCTCAGAACCAAACGGGATCCCCAGGCCAGGCAGACAGGGTTATGCAAATTGGAAATTTCAAAAAAAATCAGACCAATTATAACTTTAATCTACACTAATTTTAGTGATTCTGCTCTACCATATAAAAAGTTTTTGGTGAATCAAAATTGAGCTGTAAAATTCCCCTAAATTAAAATTTTACTGAATTTTTGATTTTTCTTAAATTTCCCATTTGCATATATTCCTCTCTACAAAAACTACCCGTGTATACAAACTCTGGGAATTCGTGTACCTAAAATTCTTCAATCCACGACGACCAATTTAAAAAGTATGTACAAATCAAAGCTTTGACCAATTCTTAGATACAATTTGTAAAATACAGATATTCAAGTTTACTCACTGTTTCAACTATGTTCCGTTCCAAATCACACTATTTACCAATTTTCAGTTATTTTTAACGAATTTTTCTATACTTGTGAGAAGTTAAATAATAAATTGAATAGTAGGATTATTTGGGATTAAGAGATAATTCCGACTAAGAATTGAATCGGGTCATCTCGTCTTATTTATTGGGTTGGTGGTGCCAAGCAGTCTGGCCAGAGATGAAAATTCCAATCCCTTGTCATGTCATACATATGCTTATCATTTGACATGTGTGTGCCCTGGACAAACAAGTCATCTTCTTCTTGACGAGGTGAACCAAAAAATTCCAAGTCACTCGAATGAATCAAAACTTGAAAGAAAATGGGTGTGTAGTGTAATACAAAAAAGTGTGATGCGTGTGACCCTCTTATAAATACATTAATGTCAAGTATTTAGTTAGTTATATAATGATAAATAATGCGTCCATGCGTATAATTCCGTACAGTGGCCGCGGAAGCCGTGGGGAAATTGACATTGTAGGCTCGAGGTTTATGTAATGATTGAGGCATTGTCCCCCTCTCCCCTCCAGCTTCCGCGGCCACTGATTCCGTACGAAGGGAAAGGGTGGCATTTATGTAATAAAATTGGATGAAAAGTTAACGCACTTTCTTTAACATAAACTTCCAAATGACAAAACTTGCAAATTATTTGTAACATTTAACGCCACTTTGTATTTTTCAAGAATATTTCATAAAGTACGAAAACAGATGCCGAAATCCGCAAGTTTAGAATTTGTACAGCGAGCCATTCATACTTCTTAAAATTATCAGTTTTACCAATTTCATAAATATGAAATCATTGTTGAAAGTATTATGAAAATATATATGTATGTACAGGAAATCGATAATTTCTATATATTTTTCATTCTTTATAGTTTCATATTTCCTGTATTTTTCATAACAATTTCAAGTATATATTTCAACCATAATATTTTTAAATTTCTACCCAGGCAATTCATTCTCTCAGTCTTTCTTTGGTAACTTTGTAAAATCCGTGCATTTTATTTTGCAAATTATTTTATACAAAATAAGTAATAGTAAGTTTACAAAAATATATGACCTAATTTTCCTTACATATGTTTGCATAATTTTGTAAAAGTTTATAAGCTTAAGGATCTTACGAATTTTAAAAAACCGAAATCTTTGCGTGAATCCTTGCGTGAATCTTGAACATGCTCGAAATATCTAACTAAATTCTTACTCAACATGTTATAAATCTCGGTAAAATTTCCGGATTTATTTTATTCTTATACGTATAGGAATAAAATAAATTTCTTGAAATTTATGTATACATAAATTTCAAGAAATTCTTTACTACACTCAAAATAAGGTAGTAATGAATCATTACCATGCGGAATGACTATGTGGCTCTACCACGTCGGTTACGATTTGTCGTAGAAATGGTAATAATAAGTTCAGGGAAATTCAAATTCATTACCAAATATTAAGGAAGTTAATACCATTATGTATTAAATTTGAATTTCGCTGAATTTATTATTACCATTTCTACGACAAATCGTAACCGACGTGGTTGAGCCACATAGTCATTCCGGATGGTAATGATTCATTACTACCTTATTTTGAGTGTACGACTACGTACTTGACATAATAACGAGTTTTTGATATGTATGTAAATATGCGTCTCTTGACATAAATCATGTCAGTTCCTCGTCAATTGACAGGATACTTAAATTAAATATGTCAAATCAATATCAATAATAAATTATGTGTCAATCAAATCCATAATTCCATATAGAAAAACATGAGACTATGCGACGCCGTATGAAATTTATTTATAAAAATAACTTGAAAATGATCAATATTTAGATTTTTTTGGAGCTTCGTATAACAAACTTAAAACATAATTTTAATAATCTTTCTTCTTACCTTTGACTTGTTTCAAATTTGATAAATTCCTCAATTTTAGGAATCAATCAATATCAAGTCTAACTACAATGTTGGCTAATTTCCATCTTATTTTCTCAACTTGGCTCCATTTATCACGATATAATTTAGCACCAGATTATTACTCACTTCTTCAACTTTTAACCTTTACTCGATCACTACTGCGAAATCAAAATTCGAACAAACATGCGAAAAAAACTACACAAAAGTATACATTTACAACGCTCAAATCTTGATCTGATTACTTAAAAATCATTCCTCTCATTGTAAATATATTAAAATTTTGACCACTTGGACACCAATTTAACGATTACTCACTTCTTTCTTAAAATATTTACTTTGTCACTACTCGGAAATCAAAATTCGGACAAGATTTACCTAAAATAACATCCCTTTTACACTTCAAATCCTAATCTGTCTACTTAAAAGTCAGTCTCCTCTCATTAAATATACATAAATCTATGCAAGTCTTGACCACTTGGAAATGCAGGCGTCTCACTTTACCAGGTAACGATTC